ATACATATTTCGCTGTCCACAAAAATAGATTGAATTTTTTATTTTCTTCACTGAATTTATAATTTTTAAATTTGAAAGTTTCGATTTATGAACGAGAAATTCGTCATTTTTGGGGCCACACTGCATGTTTATAGATCTTCGTCGCTGATCCACAGACAAACACAACGACATATCCTTTTTTTTGTTCGGCAGAACGCAGGTTAGTTTGAACTATCATCAATCCATCATTATGGAAATACAGGTTTTGCCTCAGTTGTCAAAAACAATAGGAAACAATTGTCAAGGCTATTGTCAGTAATATCTACTTTTTGGTTCTTTCAGTTTTGTTTGGTGAGGGTACGATTCTAGCTTCGACTGATTTCCTATACCTTAATCCAATAATATTTGTTTTCCAGGTGCACACCGTCGAACTGGCCACACTCAAGTCCAGCAAGAATTTCGACTTCGTAAACTCTTCAAGCATGAAGGGTTCAGCATGAGACATCTAAGGAACGACATTGCTTTACTTCAGCTCCAAAAACCTGTGGAGATTAGTACTAAGGTGAATACAGTATGTTTGCCTTCTTCTGGAAGCAGAGCCAAAGCAGGAGCTAAGTGCTATATAACAGGTATCCATAATAACGTTTATAAAATTTTTGATATATAACGCGCGCTCTGATTGGCTGACGACCGTGTTTATATCAGAGAAATATAGAACGGCCGCTTGTGTCTCTGTCCTCTGATATAAACACGGTGGGAGTTGAAAAACACTCGAGAAACAAGAGAAACACTCGCTACGCTCGTGTTTCCTAAGCTTCCTTCTCTCGTGTTTTTCAAACTCCCACCGTGTTCATATCAGAGGACAGAGACACGCGCGCCGTTTTATATTTCTTAAATACAATTATTATATTTTTAATTATACAATAAACGTCAATTGCATCAAACAATTCTTCTCAAAACTACATCCACCCGCATGATCATAATGTACCTGTTACTTCGATAAACATAAGAAACTATTATTCTAGTGGGAAGTGACCGTGATCCAAAACAGCTTTGATTTTAAAGCATCTGATGTATTGGCTGGTATGAAATACTCATTTTCTTCAGTAATTCGTTTTTTGATTTTATTTAGGCTTTTGTCTTTTCTCGACCACATCATGAGCTATAGGAAACATTAACTTTGTACGATCGTGCAACTCGGTCGGGTACAACTTTATCTCCGTTATTATAGATCAATAAAGAACATCTTTTGCAAATTATTTGACTTTGTTTTATTACCTCTTTGCTTTGTTCTCCTTAAACGTTTAAAAAAGCGTTTGTGTTCGATAAATAGCCATTCTCTAGCCGCTCAAGGCGACAAAATCCAAGATAACGACTATTATGCCTCTGTGACTGGCACGAAATTGCGGCCTGGCCACCTAGTTCACAGAAATAGGGGGCCGGCGAGACTTTAYAGCTTGGCCTCCAAAGCTCATGACCTGGCCTCCTATAGTTCATGACCACATTCTTTTATTGTTCAGGTTGGGGAAGAACAGAAGGCGGTGGCAACGCTGCAGGCATTCTTCAACAAGCCATTCTCCCGGTTCGCTCCCACTCAGACTGCGCACGCGTAAATGGACGACTTGTCACAGTKGACCAAAACTCCATGATCTGCGCTGGAGGAGAGGGCAAGGGTGGTTKTCAAGGAGACAGTGGAGGGCCGTTCGTGTGTAAGGAGGGTGGTCACTGGGTGTTACGTGGTGCTGTCAGCTGGGGACATAGCATGTGCCGTACTGACCACTATACAGTTTTTGCACGTATCAGTAACTTCATTGAATGGATCAACAAGAAAAGAAGATCAGGTATTTTTTTGTCAAATAAATAGTAGAAATGTCAATAAATTTGTAGACGATGAAATCAATTTTGTGCTGCTACTTGATAATCTAATTAAAGAGGAAATCATATAAGAGATAAGGATAAGTGCCTTCGTGCACTGTGTATGGTCGATCGTTTTGATTTTTTTTTTCGTTTTAAGGTGATTTAACCACAATAGAAGTGCTTCAAAGACATGCTCTAAGACAAATTTCAGCAAATTTCATGTCGGTCCGACAAAAGTAGAATAAAAATATCAAACAAAACAATAACTAAATAAAAAATAAAAAGTTGTGCAACCTGAGAATAATGTTAAGGTTATTCATTTTCAGGTGGTGGTGGAGACGGTGAGGAAGGTGAGGAAGGCGGAGGCGGCAGCAGGCCGGGTAAGAAATATCTCGAGTGCACTGAAACTAAATATCTGGCGTAAAAACTGTAGAACCGTAGAGTGAGACTGCGTACAATCGCAGCGGAAACTGGCGGCCGATGCGAAAAAAAAATTCAAAAAATCGAAAAAATCATCGAATGCGGTCAATGTGACTGCGTACAACAACCRTAAAACGCCTGTCAAAAACTGTCATATTTACCTCACTTGACTTGTGCGACTTCTCGTGCGATTCCTCACAGATTAAAATATGCAAATGGACGTTTTACATTYGCGCCTATACTCTACCTTTCCATGTCGCGATCGATGATGTTTAATTGAATCGGCATTTTGCATTCGTGGTCGTGCCGCACTGTGTTCGCGACAAGGAACCATTGTATACACAACAAAATATGCTCTAGTTACTGCATTCGGACAGCCATCACCCCTCGCTTTCTTCTATTTAACTCTTTCCCGTCCGCCCCTTGAAATTGAGGTCGAATTCGAACTATGCGTCAAAAAACAATAATTAGTTGCCGAAATAGTAAGCTGGAGGCCTGAAATTGCTCGTACGAACTTACTAGTAGATACTGTCGATCGTACAGTTGAAAGAATTTCGCAACAAGGAAACAAAAGACACAAAACAGCACTCTGCTTTGAAATGAATGCCAAAATCTGCGTTTGAAGGACCGCAGGGTACAGTGATTTTCATCTCAATTTGTAGCGTCAAAATATATGTTCTCCTAGCAAAAAGTCCACTTGGTTTGCAAATCCATTTGATAGAACGTCCTCTTTTCGACGTTTTTATTTTGTCAAATGCACTGCAGATAAAAGCACTCTCAACAAATCAACATCCGTGGACAATGAGTTAAGGAAGCAAGGGTGCCGAGCGTTGAGATCGCTGGGATGTCACCTTTGCGGACCCTGCTCGGATCTCGGTCAGGGACACCATACGTGATTTGAGTTTCTTTCGTTATCGAGTCCTTGCTTCGAGTGTTTTAATAATAATAATAATAATATTTTATTTTCCGGGTCTTTTTCG